CCGCTGGGCCTGCCCGGGCTCTTAAGAGACCCCGCTGAGAAGCTGGCTTTGAGGCACTTGGAAGCCATGGCCACCGCCACCCAGACACAAGAGACTGATCTCGGAGGGCAGTGGCCCACACAGCAGGATTTATATTCTGCCCCAGTGGGCGTGGGCTGACCTTCACAAGGAGCTTTCTCCTCGTTAAAAGCTAATACCACTTTCCATCAGAACCCCTCATTAAGCTGTGGTTTAGTTTTCCCGTGAACATTTCCCGGCCTCATAAAAACAGGAGCCCCGCTGGTTGGGAGGCCGAGTGGCAACTCCCAGCATGGACCACATGCAACTGGGAACAGATCATATGTCCGTGAGCCCTTCAAAGGAGCCTGTCACAAGGGCCTGGTTTCAACCGCCTTGGGAAGCAGGCATGGGAGCCCAGTCCCCAAACCCCAAGCCCTTAACTCTCTGCATCACAATCCTCTCTTGTAGGAGCAGACAAGACTGCTAGGTTGTCTGCCAGAGGATGGGGAGCAAGGTCTGATGTAGAGTGAAGAGGTTCCTGTGACAGAGGAAACACAGAAGGCTCTGACTATGGCCGGGTGACCAGCTCTCCTGCTTTCCCCAGGCTTGTTCCGGTTCCAGAGCCAGAAGTTCCATTGGCTGGAGAACCCTCCGTCCTGGAAAGGCTGTGACAGCTGGTCCCCTTAGATACAACCTGGCCTTCTCCCTCCTTGCCATGAAATCTAGCTAGGTGTGAGGCTTATTTGTCGGGAACCTTCCTGCGGCAGACCCAAGCTCCCTGTGTCTAGATAGGCTTGTCTTCCAGTCCTGGGTAAAAGATGGAGAAAGCTTTCCTTCTAGCTACACAGATGGTGAAGTGGGGAGACAACCAATGTTGTGCTACAGTTGGTTAAACTGGCCCACGTCAGAGCACTGGACCGAGTCCCAGCTACTCCTCTTCCAATCTAACACCTAGGGAAACAACAGAAGACGAACCCCTGCACCCACTGGGAAGACCTGGGTGAAGTTTCAGCCTCCTGGCTTCAGCCTGGTGCCCACCTAGCCACTGCAGCCATTTAAGGAATATCTCACACACACTTCTTTTGTCACTCTTGCCTTGAGTTCTTAATTCACGGATGTCCCTGGGAGCATGAGAGCCAGACCTTCACAGATTGATCTCTGCTGAAGCCAACAGCAAAGACGATGCCTAAAAGCTTATCAAGACACAAGGCAAGTCTCATCTGGCAAACCAGGGAGGGCTGGAGGAGAGAGGCAGGGAGCTGAGTGGGAAGAGAGTCGCAGGTGAGCATCGGGGGACTTCCTGTCTGTCCCATCGCTTAGGTTCCTACGTCCTTTTATGAGGAGAGTGACCCCAGGCTGGGCCCAAGTGGAGAACCAGTCACAGTGCTCATGTCCTCCCATGCCAGGTCCCACTAAGCCACAGCATGCCTCTGTGAGCCTGAGAGGCTCAGTGTCTCCCAGAAGCTGACACTGACGGGACTCAGAGATGGCAAGAGCTGGCTCAACACCCACCTAGTAACAAAACAATCCTGTCTTCCACCATGCTCTGGAAGCTGGTCCTGAACTGCTCACTGTCACCAGGGTACAAGGTTGGGGTGTAGGGATCCACAGTCCCTGGTGTGTGGGACAACACAGAAGCAGCACACGTAAACTTGGGAGTTCAGACCCTAGCTCTGCCACTCCAACCATTGTGACTTAACCTCATATTCTTTCCCTCTCTTCTTCCCTCCCTCTCTCTCTCTCCTTTTCTATAAATGGAAAGAACATCAGATACTCATTGCCTGAGGCTGTAGGGAGCGTGATATGCGTTTGAAGCATTCAGAACAGCAACTGTTGTGACTGTCAGTCTCACACAAGTGGAGTCTTGTTTGCTGTGCTGAAACTGGCAGTGCTGAGCAGCTGTCACTGCGGAGTATGGACGGGCTCTGAGTATGCAGGCTACCATCCCCCCAGGGCCAGGTGGGCATGTTTGGGGCCCTCACAGATACAACTTCATGAGTCACACTGTGCCTTTCCCATGCTCAGGGACCTAGGATGACCCACACCTGCCAAGCACTAACCTAGGGTCCCCATAACTGCCTCTGCCTCTGCTTCTTGGACAGCTGAGCCTCAGGGCCAAGGACCCAGCCAAGCTGAGAACCTGGCTGCAAGCTGCAGGCTGTGCTCTGAGCTCAGCAAGGGTCACCTGGAGCCACGGGAACCCAGAGAAAACACAGCTCAAAAGCTGGAAAAGTGTCATGCTGCTTGCAGAGCTCCAGAGATGGAGTGGGTTGGTCTCCTGGCAAGACCCCTGCACCTGGGCTAGCCAGAGGGGATCCCAGTGCTGCTCAACCTTGAATGCTCTCCTCCCTCAGCCTTGTGACCAGAGAGAAACTGAGCTTTCAGCACCTTGCTGATCTCTCTCCAAGCACTCTCCTATCAGTCCTCCCCACAACCTCACAAGGCAAGTGTCTCTTATAGTTCCATTTAATAGGTGGGTGAACTGAGGTTTGCAAAGTTTTGGAAACCTACCAAGAACCTTACTCACACAGAGAGTGCAAAACTAGTGTTTGTACAGCCCTATCAGCCCACGCAGATAGGCATCCACTCCCACAGGAGGTTCCCACAGTCAGACTGGTAAACTCCTAACCTATGGTCCCACCTGACCTTCACAAGGAAACCGAAGACCAGACCTGTGGGTCCTGTGTTGTGATGCAGCCCCTGTGAGCCAGCATCCTGAATGGCATACCAGGTCAAGTCCTGGCTGCTCCATTTGCACTCCAGCTTTCTACTAATAGAGCTGAAAAAGCAGCAGAAGATGGCCCAGTGCTCAGACCCCTGCTACCTGTATGGGAGACCTGGATAAAGCTCCAAGCCCTATTTCCCCCAATAAACATGAGGTCAGGAATTGACTTCACCCTTCTTTGGAAACTTGCATAGTGTCAATCAGAGTGCTGGACATCTGGAAGTTTTTGAATAAGTGAACGGATGAAGTAATTGCCCATGGAGGGGAGAGACAATGCAAAAGGATAGGAAAGAAGGATGGAAGGAGAGGGAAACCCCCTGCAATGTCAGCCCCACCTCCTTTCCCTACCCTCAGGACTCAGTGATGGAGATGGGCCCAGGGTCCTGTGCAGGTGAACAGCCATACCCAAGCCAAACCCCTAAGCAGAGAACAGAGTGGGCCCTGGTCCAAAGCCACCTGCCCCATGAGACGGGTCCAATCCAGTGCCAGGGGTGCAGATGAACGCCTCTGGGCAAGATTTTGTTAGATAATTTGGTAAAAGTGAAGCTTTTAGAACATGCAAACATCCTGTACATTGCCATGGTCTGTCTCCGTTCTTTCTCAGCTTTCTTTTTAAAAGAGTAAAATAATTTCCTGGAACTCCCTGATGGGCCTCAGCTAATGCTGTTTGCGGGACCTCCCAATAACCTTTCTCCCAGGATCTTTGCACTCTGTTCGGACGCAGCATGTGCTGACCCCAGAGCACAATGTAGACACACTTCACAGTGCCCCACATGACCTCCCTGCCTTCCCCTGAGCCTGAACCCCTGTCCCTAGCCCCACTCCAGCCTCCCTGGTGCAGCTCCTGCTGGGAGATAGGGGAAGGCAAGGGGAAGGGTCTCCACACCAAGACAGCAGCTGCTTGGGGAACTGTGCCTGTCACCCACTTTGCCTCTAGCCATATCCTCCACACTTGCTCTTGCCCAGCACACTGAGCCCCAGCATTAGTGCTGGGTTTGCTGGGTGAGGGGTGTCAGTTAGTAGTTGTCAGATAGTTAGGTCTTGGTTTGCTGGGTATAGTGTGTGTAGTACACTGCCCCTTAACTGATTCTGTGATATGTGCACAAATGTAAAAGGGAAGACAGCCTGTTCTCACATCTGGAAAACACAAGAAGGCACAACCCTGACAGCCAGTAGTAAGGGCACTTTACCAAATGGCCTGTCTTACATCATCTGTCTCAATATCATGGAAAGAGCGACAAAGCAGAGGTCAAAAGACATGGGAAGATGTCCCTGGCTAGTCAGTCCATGATGATTCCATGACATGGTTGACCTCAGTCTGCCCCTCAGTTACAGCTGTCTGCCGGGACATGGTTCAGGGAACAAATGGGGGCACAATGGGCTCCTCACCTAATGCAGATGCAAAATCGCCAGCACTCAGGGATACCATATTGTGCAAAGAGTACTTGAGAGTCCATGGACCCTACAGAGGACGCTGTCTTGAACAAGAGGGGCTTCCTCAAGCTGTCCTCTTATGACCTGATGCAGCAGCTAGGCAGCTCAAGTTGACAGAAGACTCGAGCCAGTCCCTGAACCCTGCCTGTGCCCTCGCAGGAGCATGACACTCTCCATGCATGCCCCGCACCACCCATCCCAATCCTGAGCCCCAGGCCAAAGTCATAGACTCTAGAGAAGGAGGGGAGTGGAAAGGGCCCCCAGAGCAAGGCAGGGGTGAGAACCAAGCACATTGATGCTCCTGTCCAGGGCTGAGTGGACTCTCAAGTTGAGGCTTGCGGGTCCATCACCCAGGTCTCAGGATGCTTCAAGAGAGGTGCACTTCACACCCCCACACCAGCATCCTGCCCTGTGCTGAGCCAAGAGCTCAGTCCTCGCTTCTAACTCCAGGCAACTGCCATTCTTGGGGTACTGAATGTGCATGTTCCATTCAGAGCTTTATGATAGCCCGATTTCATAGAAGAGCCTGCTGAGATCAGAGAGGTCATACCATGTGACTGGACACACAGCAAGACATTTCAGTTCTGCCTGCGTGTGTCTTCCCCTCAAGTTCTGAGGTGTGCTTGCTGATTCTCTGGCTTGTCAGGCAGGTAGTTGAATATTCATGAGTAGTGTCAAGTACCTGGTACATGGGGCAGGGTCCAGATTTTCTCAGAAACCAAACCCTACTATGTACAGCAACTGCTGACCAGATGCCCCCACTAACACATCATATGAAAATCAACAGCCAGCCAAAGTGGAGGTTGCTATGCCAAGAGAATGCACTTTATTGGGTAAGTCTGGTTTGCATGGCAGGAAGGCACTCCCAGGTCCAGAAACATGACATGAGGATTTTTATCAGCAAAGACAACCAAGCATAAGGGAGGAGGAGAGGAGAGGAAATGAAGTTGGGGAAGACACAGGGTCTCTCCAGAGAAAGGAGCCACAGGAGTTCATAGGTCACAGGTCATAGGTCACGATGGGCGGTACGGCAGCTGCTCCCTAGAAATGGCTTTGGCATCTTGCATCTGCTCGGTGATGCTGCAGACCTGGGTGCTGACCTGGGCACTCGGGGTGCATGGTGCAGAGGAGACATGAGGGGCTTTGATGGCAGGCTTGCATTCTGTGGCACAAGGATGGGCAGGAAGCCTGGAGAACATGACATCACACAGATTGCCATGGGCACCTGGGCATTTGGCTGAGACATACTGAATTGATTGAGCAGGGCAAGCAAGGCAGCTGGAGGCCGGCAACAAGTAGCCTTGGTCCATGCCAAGGTGGGGAGGGTGGAGCCACTGGATGTACATGGAGACCAGGAACTCCCCACCCAGCTGGATGTGGGAGGAGCTTGCATCTAGCTCTAACCAAAGCCAGCAGATAGGAGTCCTCCAAGTGGCTTTGGTTCCCCCCCCACCCCCGCCACTTCACCTGGACAGCAATCAGATCCCAGGATCCCCCACTCACTTGCAGTCCTCGCTCTCCAGCAGGCCACGGTATGTGTTAATCTCACACTCCAGCCGGGCCTTGACATCCAGCAGCACCTGGTACTCCTGGTTCTGCCGCTCCAGATCACAGCGGATCTCAGCCAGCTGGGACTCCACATTGCCGATCATGCATTGCATCTGGGTCAGCTGGCCACTGTAGCAGGCCTTAGTCTCCTCCAAAGTAGACTCCAGAGAACTTCGCTGCAAGGGGAAAAAGGAGGAGCTGCCGACGGGAAGCAATTTCAATTCTCCCTAGACACCCACAGCCTTGAGCATCACTTGTGAAGGGGCCTCGTGAGAGCTGTGTGCTGAGACTGGCAGCTCAGGGAGCCACACACCGTGCTGTGCTGGGTCTGCAGCTCGATCTCCAGGGCACTGACTGTGCGTCTCAGCTCAGTGATTTCTGTCTGGCAAGATTGCAGCTGCTCCGAGCTGGACACCACCTGCTGGTTCAGCTCCTTCGTCTGCAACATGGAGTACATGCAGAGCATAGTCAGAGCCAGGGAAGGCACTGTGAAGGGCAGCCCCTCTCCAGGAGCCCAGAGGCTTGGGCTGTCCTAGCCCCACCTGGGTGTTGAACCAGGTCTCCAAGTCTCTGCAGTTGTTCTCCACCAGGGCCTCATACTGGCATCGCATCTCTTCTAGGACCCTATTGAGGTCCACAGGAGGTGCAGCGTTCACCTCCACATTCAGTCGGTCCCCAAGTTGGCTGCGGAGCACACTGACATCCTGCAATGAAGATGCCAAATGCCATAAGACTGGGAAAAGGATGTTGGACTAGGGTCTAGCTGCCCTGCATGTGAGCCTCCTCCCCCAGTTGCCAGCTGAGCAACACAATTTAGGATGTGTGACCTCTCCAAGCCTCAAACTGCTCATGAGCATTTACCAACCATCTCTCAGGAACTGGGGAGACTTAAGCGAGATCTATGAACACCAGGTAAATAGAGCTATGATAATCCATGCTCTCCAGCCCAAAAGGAAATGTGGCTTCAATGGCTGGAAGGTGGACTCTTTTTCTACTTCAGTTTTCTCATCTGTAGAATGGAGTTTACAGTAGACTATATGGCCTGGGGTTTGGGGAGGATGGAATAAAGGGAACATGAGACGCAAATGTCTCCAGAGTTTCCAGTACACAGGGAGCTCAAGGTCCAGCAGTGGCTTCCTAAGCCGCGTAGAGAGTTCAACCAGCCACTGATCAACCAGTCTCACCTCCTCGTGGTTCTTCTTGAGGCAAAGCAGCTCCTCCTTCAGCGACTCCACCTGCCCCTCCAGGTCAGCCTTGCACAGGGTCAGCTCATCCAAGATCCTGCGCAGCCCGTTGATGTCGGCCTCCACCAGCTGCCGCAGCGACAACTCCGTCTCATACCTGCAGGTACATAACACTGCCAAGTCTGCCACAAAGAAAGCCAGGCACAGACAGGGCTCCTCACCCCACAGGTAGTGACAGGAGCTGACCCATGATCCAAGGCAAGGTAGGTCTCCGCTGTGATCCTAGAGGGATCCCGAGTCTGGGCCCCTTTTTTGCACTGACAGCCACTCTCTGGCCTTATGCTCACCTCCCCTGTACCCAAGGCAAGGACCCATCTCTGGGCAAGCCCACTCACTTGGTCCGGAAGTCATCAGTTGCCAGCTTGGCATTGTCAATTTGTAGGACCAGCCTGGCATTCTCGGACTTGGCCAGCAAGATCTAAGGAAAAAGAGGCCTTGTGTGAGCTGGGGAAGGCTCTAAGAGTGCAGGGGGTCAGTGGGTAGGGACGCCCAGATCACAGAGGCCACATTTCTAAGACAGAATAGCAGCTAAGTTTCCAGCCCATAACAAAGACTCTCCCCGCAGGAGGTATGGCGGGAGCACCCCAAGGACGCCACCCACAGCCAACTGTGCTGGTATCCAGAGCCTGCACGGTGGCCCTGGAAAGGCTGAATTCCTCAGTCTGCCTATGTGATCACTGACAAGCTGCTGAGAAGTCAGCTTACCCATCTGTTCAACGAAACCAGTACAGTACTACCCATCTCCCCAAGATGAAGAATAAATAAGCCAGTAGGTAGGAGAGCACTGGGCACAGTGCTATATGCAGCAAGGTCTTGCCCCAATGCCCCTTCCCTTTCTAGAACTGAGACAACAAGAGGAAGTGAAGAATAGCCCAGGACTGGGGAAAATCAAGGCCTAGAGAGAGAAGCTTGTCCTGCCAGGGGAATGCCCTAAAGCCATAGTTCCTTCTGGGAAGGGCTTGGGATAAGACAGGTGCACCCCCATCCCCACCCCTCAGACTCTGGGCTGCCCCTCTGGAGAGAAGCTGGGTCCCCATCACCTTCTGCTGGAGCTCCTCAACTGTCTTGAAGTACGACTGGTAGTCAGGGCAGGTGTAAGGGATCTGAGTCTCACACCACTCGCGGATGCGGCTCTCCAGCTCCGCGTTGTCGCATTCCAGTTGCCGCACCTTCTGCAGGTAGTTGGCCAGGCGGTTGTTCAGGGACTGCATGGTCTCCTTCTCATTGCCAGTGAAGGAGCCCTCGCAGAACCAGCCTCCTGACCCAGCAAAGCCTGAGGACTGGTGCCCAGCAGCCAGGCAGGAGTCAGGAAAGCAATTCCCTAAGCCAGAGAGGCCTATCCGAGAGGGAGTCGGGGACCCGGAGGCACCAGCCAGACATGAGACCCTACAGGAGCCCACAGATCGCATGGGGGACACCTGAGAGAGGCCCGTCATGGAGCCAGTGGAGAAGGCTGAGGCGCAGCACTGGGTGGCCATGACACTAGTAGAGGAGGCTTACAGCTTAGCCAGGAGCTCAAACTCTAGCTTCTCAAGGCCTCCCCGGGTGTTTATATACACACTCCGTGGGGTGTTGTCACATCTTGCGTCTTTGGCTCTTGAGAAAGCCTGTTGCTATCCCAGAGAGTTAATCTCCTTAGAATGGGATTTTTCCTACCCATCCAGAAAGCTTGGCCTTGTTAAAAAAAAAAAAAAAATGTTGAATTTAGTTTGCTAAGTCAGTACTGTCAGCTGCTGTCACATGTAGCAGTACATTGCATTTTATTGCCACTTCAAAGCATCCGTGCGCCAGATCCCAAAAGTTAGGAGTGGCCCTACAGATGACATCTAGGTCCTGCCTCTCTGCCCTCCCCCAGGGAGCCTGATATGTCCTCCAGTGCCACTCCCTACTCCTCATGGCCACTGTGGAGCATCTGTTCTGTGCCCAGCTGGCAGCTGCTGTACTTCACAACAATCCTTGGATATGGCTGAAGTTGCTGTTTCAATAGTGTGGAAACTGAGACTCAGAATGAGTTCTAAAAAGAAAAAAGCAAAAATGGACCCAGCACGATGGCTTAATGGCTAAATTGATACCTTGCAAGGGCTGGGATCCTACATGGGTGCTGGTTCATGTCCCAGCTGCTCCACTTTCCATCCAGCTCCCTGATTATGACCTGGGAAAGCAGCAGAGGATGGCCCAAAGCCTTAGGACCCTGTACCCATGTAAGAGACCAGGAGGGAACTGGATTTGCTGTTGGTTCCTGTGAGGCTGACTGAATCCCTTTCTCCCTGGGATCCCCTGAATCCTCGGTATAGCCATGTGGATCACCACCCTGTGCTACCAGCTCCAGGGATGCAGATGAGAGCAGAAGTCAACGTGTTCTGAAAACTGGAGAAGCTGGTCAACTAAGAGGACACCCTATGGTGATGGTTCACAGCTGTGGCCAGCAAACTTTCCCAGCTCTGAACACTCAGGTGTGATTGCTGGAGATGAGGTTTGTCCCAGCATGGCACTCTGGCCCTGGAGGATAAGAGGGTACCAATCATCAACCCTCAGAAGGTCACTGACCCCCATCAGCAGCAACAGCACGAATCTCCTGCCACATGGAATCCACATATTTGGATCCCTGAGTGGGGTCAGACACTTCCTTGATGGTTTCTGCTTTTTGATACCAGGAGGTGAGATCAGGGCCCTGAGCCAACCCACTCAGACCATCTTCACCCCTGAGTAACTCAGAGGCGTAGACAATGGCAGGTTCCTTGGACACAGAAGGAACGAATGGGACAAAACTGAACAATGCCACATACAGAAAAAGCTGAAAATTCAGGACCAAAGACAAGCCAGGACCTACTGCCTGGAAAAGAAGACTTTCTCCAGGATAGAAAACCCCACTCGCCCCTCTCCCACATGGCTTTGGTCTGCAAGGCTGGTATTTATGGAAGTTTTTATGTGCCTCTTGAGTCGCAATTTACCCACCTCTTAAAACACTTTATAAGCTTCTCCCCAGAATTACTCATGCAAGAGTGATGGCAGTGAACACACCTGGCTCCAGGCAGCAGACATCTCAATAATATGCCCAAGAACAAGGGGTGATGGTCTTCCTAGGAACCCAACCCCGTGGAGACCCTCCTGGGAGAGGCAGTGGGGGCATCTGCCCTTCACATCTCCAGCTATCCCATCCTTCCCCTCCATTCTCCCGGCAGGAGCTAGGATGAGGCCATCACACGGTCCTTGGCACTGGGGACGCAGAGGGCCAAGGCATTCTTTGGCCAAGGGAGGGACTGTCCTATGCACTTGTGAACCACTCGGCGATGACCCCAGTCTCTGTCACCCAATGCCACAGCAATGGCTCAGTTGTGACAACCAAAAATGTGTACAGACATGGCCAAATGTCCCTGCGGGAGGGTGCAGTGGGGGCCAGGGGCAGGACCACCGCTCCCCCACTGAGAACCAATGCAGGAAAGAGACAACTCCTTCCCATAAGCAGCCCCCACTTTGTTTCTCCACTAGGGCAAATCTGTCACCCACCCAGGTCTCAGCTTACCCTCTTGGGAATACTGAGTGCCAAACGGACCTCCCAGGCAGCCTTTTCCAAGCCCTCTGCATAGCCTGCCTTTGCTTGGGGTCTCTGGCTTGTGGGCCTCGGAAGTTTTCATATCCCAGGCTTGTTTGTTTTTTATTCTTGCACTGTAAGATCCGCACTAGGGTTCAGAGGAGCCAATTCCTAGGTTTCCCAGGACTCCCAAGTCAGCAGGTGTCTGCTGTGCCCATCATGTTCTTGTCACTGTCACCTGGCATCAGGAGGGCCAGAAGGTGGTTCCAGGGGGAGGGAGGGGAGCTCTCATAGAACAGGTGCCAAGCTGGCCAAGGGAGAAGCTTTCCCAGCAGCCCTCAGTCCCTTGCCTTAGCCTATATTGTAGATGGCACAGCTACCGCTGAGGGAAGTATGGAAGAGATCAAGGGAAGGAATTCACTTCCCTCTCCCATCCTGGCATCACAGGGTTGAGTGCATACCACCAGGACAAACACCAGCCTATCTCAGAGATGAGAACCCAGCCCCACAGCAGTTCCTCTCTGGGGGCCACCCAGCACTCAGAACTGGCAGACCAGGGCACCATTCGCCAGGCTTCTCCCTGACAGCAATCCTAAGTGTACAGGGCTACCAGCCGGGCATCCAAACTCCAGACCCAGCTCAACCCCAAATCCCAGCAGAACTCAGTCCATCCTGAGCCTCTGAGCTGCCATCTGAATAAGAAAGGGCTTGGACAGGGTCCTGCAATCCCATCCAGCTCAGTCATGGTAGGATCAGGTACCCAAACATGCCCCATGGAGCCCGGATGTACAAGTGACTCATCCACCACCTCCCACAGCCCCCGTCCCTTAGTGTTCACTGATCTATGAAATAAAAGAGTGCAGGAGTTTCGGGCACGTGACTGAGGGGGGTTTCTGTTCTCTCCAGACACACATGTTCCCCAGCAGCCCCTTCACCCACAGCACCCACACATCACACGATCAAGAGTGCAAGATTCCTCCAGCCAGAGCCCTCCCTGCCAGCAGGGCCCACCCAAGGTGCAGTGGCACAGGGATACTCAGAAGAGATTTGGCCTTGCAGAAATCAGGACATAGAAACCACAGGGCAGGGACTCTGAACCTACACTCAACCAGAGCTGGGTTCAAAGCGCTCAGCCCCACATTACCACAGTCTTCCCCCCTAGGAGAACAAAGGCCAGCACGCCATGGCCACATGCTTGCTAAATGGACAATCGTTTCAGGTTCAAGACATCAAATTTGCTCTGAGAGCTCATAAAGTGTGCTGAAATCAAATACCACTTCTGGGGTATGAACCACCTGTCCTGCTATTTATGCATTACTAATAAGGAGGCTGAACCTATTGGAATATTGCTCTAAAAGGCAATGACCAAGATAGGACTGCCCAGGGCTACAATGGTCCCCTCCACCAGGGTTCCCTGTCTGCCCTCTGTCCCATATTCTAGAAGCTCCCATTCCCAGAAGTCCCCAGCCCACCTGCAGTGCTAACAGGATGCTTTACCTGCAACCAGCCTTGGCAAGAGAATGAGAGATGCTGCTCTAGGAACAGAATAATCCCCTGGGCTTTTCCCAAGCCCGCCACCCACTTCAAGGTCAAGCAGCATGCTTGTGGTTCCTTCGCTGGTCAAAAGAAGAAGTTTGCACTCTCAGAAGAGCTTCCATCCAGAAACCCTGATCCCTGTGGAAATAGACCCAAGCTGCCAAGCCTGCGTCTCTCCCCACCCAGCTCTGAGCAGCCTCTTGCTTGAAGGGGGCAGAGACACAGCCTGTGGCCATGTATCCAAGTAAGGAATGAGTTCTCCAAGGAGGATCTCCTTCCCATGCTTCTCTGGGCTTTGGTGAGAACACCATTGAGTCCAAAGGCAATGGACAAAGCAGACCTGACCATAGCATGTGGGGCATCCAGGCCACTCACCAAGGAACACCAACAGGAGTAAGATCATCAAGTCCCTTAGAGCAGCAGCCTCCTGGCCTAGCCTTCCTCATTCTGATTTTGTTCTCTACTCTTCCACCCTGAAACTCCACACACAACAGGCTCCAGCCTTGTTGCATTGACTTGCCTTAGCCTCTTCAGGCCCCACTCAGCACCCACCCACAATGCCAGGGACCTCACATCTGATCAACCTCTTTTCCCTCAGAATTTATAAAATTCCTGGCTGTTCCCCTGCAAAGCCTTGTCACCATAAAATCAGTGCCAGAAACCACAGCCATTGCCTGAGCCAAATCAACTCCAATTTCTATCTGATTCTAGTACAAAATGCACAGTAACAGGTTCATCTGGCAGGGAAGGGCAGGGGGAGAGAAAGCATTAGGGAAGCAGAGAAAGACTTACAAGTAAGACATTGCCAATCATCAATTTACTGTTTTCCAAGAATCCATGATGGGTCTCACTGATGGGGTTTTGATGGTGACAGACTCAAGTTCACAGACCTGATAAGGACAGAGTTGCCAGAATTCACAAACAAAACACTCCACGCACAGTCTAAGACCTAGCTTCTAACTATAACATCCACCAGTTCTCTACATTGCCAGCTGGTGGCTTCCCTATGCTAGACTCTGGAGAGCCTTAGCATTATAGTCAGGCTAAGAGCCTCAGCCAAGCCAGATGCTGTTCCAACTCCAGTCCCCCTGTGCCTTGTCACCATGATTAGCTGTCATGAGGACAGGACAGGAACCTCATTTGTCCTTTGAATGCTGTGCCTTTCAGTCCCTTTAGACCCTGCTCTCAGAAGCTGTGCCAAGTTCACTCTCACAGGATCAGTGATCAGGGAAAGAGGCAGGGACTGAAGTGCCCTCCCTCCCGTCCTGGCCCTTGGTGACAGCCACCTCCATTTTCCCCTATCACAGCGGACTTCCGCAGAGTGACTCAGACCTCCTTAGGTGAGACTGGGCAAGTCTCTTCCTGTTCTACTTCCCAACACCCCAGCCTAAGCCCCAAACTTCCTCCTGTGTGCCTCACCAGGCTAGGGACAACCAAGGAAGTCTTCCAGGGGACTGCTGGAGAGTCATGAGTCAGACCAAAACCCCCTGAATAGCAGCTCTTTCCTTGAGGGCCCACAAGGCTCAGGGGTGGCCAGCTCCCTGGCACACTGTGCCTTGCCATGGGTCCTGCAACCCCATCTGACCTAGAGCTTATCCTGATTAGGCCAGAAACTCCCACCTGACCAGGCCCAGAACTTGCCAAAAAGCTCATCTCCCCAAAACAGCAAAGTCTTCTCTCTCCCTGACAAGGTGCAGTCGTGGCAGCTGCCCACAAGCATTGGGCATCTACCACCAACAGTTATCACCACAGGAGATGCCCAGCAAACCCCCAGTCCCCAGCCCCCACCCAGAAGCCATACCTCTCCAATTTTGCTGCCCAGCTCTGCCTCCACATCCCCATGCTGGGCCACCAGCTTCTCACCCAGGGGCCAGCTCCTCCTGCACTGAACAACAGCGTCCCTCTGGACGGGGCCAGGGCTTCCTACTCACATCCATCCCTAACTCCCCCCACCCAGTTTTTATGATGTGGAGAATGCCAGAGCACTGCATCTCCCCAGATGTGCTTGGGGCACCTGTGGTTTGTGAGAGACACACAGCCAGGCCCCCTGGGAAACAGGAGCTGGTCCCACAGTGTCCTGCGTCCCCTGGCCTCAAGTGTCACTTAACTGAGCCATAAAGCAACTTTGGGATTCATGGTCAATCTTATGGGGCCGCCTTGCCCACCCCTCTTCCTGCTGACAGCAGCGTGTCTGCAAGACTGCCCATGGGTTCCGGGCTGTAATTAGCAGCGCTTCACACCCCAGCTTTTACTTTCAAGCTGCTCTGGGATCTGGGATGAAAGAAGCCACAGAGCCCTTGAGACTCTCCATAAAAGTAGGTCCAAAGCATAAACTCCAGCCACTTGCCAGCTCCCACAAACACCCACCCCCAGCAGGTGCCTGTTTGGGCCTCAGCACCACCTGTCGCCTCCTAACCCCTACGGGGAGAGGAGACAGAGAGGGAGTGGGCCCCGCAGAGGGGCCCACAGGAGTCTGCTCCCCTCCAGCCACCAGCAGTCCCATGGAACACAGCCCATGAGGTTGTGGTCCCAGGCAGCACCCTGAGATGCTGTGATCCAGGCCCCAGGCGAGGGAAAGGACTCAGCCTTAGACATGGACAGAGAGGGGGCAGGATGCATCTTTGACCACAGTCCTGCTGTGACATTGCCCCCTCCAAATCTGCCCCAGGATCCCTTGGGAGGGACAGACTCTCCCCTTCCCCCTCCTCTTATGCTCCCAGTCTTATGTGGGTCCTCAGAGGTGTCACCCAAAGCAGAAAGGCCACTGGCACCCAAGAAGTCCCAAGCCCAGAACTCCACCGTTGGCCATACCTTGCTCCCCAAGCACTCCCCAGCTGCTTGGCACAATGCTAGACCTCAAGCTGGGGCCGGGCCTGTATGGGACCCTCTACCCCCAGGTCCTAGCAGGTGGCCAGAGGCTCACATCTACTTTCTGGGGTGAGCCTGCCACCTACAGGGCCACAGCAAGACAGACAACCCCACAGGGAATGCAGAGCACGCTGACCATTCACAGGGGCGGAGCCATGCAGAGGGGGAGGAGGTGGGAATCTCACCTGGGAGCCTGAGCTGGCCCTGATGCATCCTGAGTCCCCTGGCCTGGGGCTCTGGGAGCAAGACTTGTTTCTCACCCTGACAAAAAACCAGTCAGTCTCGGAAAACCTGTTGTAAGCATAGATCTGACTCTCACTGGGCTAGTCCAGGCCTCAATCTTTCTGAGTGCAAAATGGGCACATCAGCACCACCTCATGGGATGGCAGGAAGAGTGAAGAAGCATTGCCCATCACCACCTGGTTCATGCTCCCACCCGCTCACTTGGCCATCTCCTGCTCTGGTCAGTGGCCACCAGGCTAGGCTGCTTCCACTCCAGTCAGGCCGCCTGGCTCTATCCCCAAGACCGGGCGGTATTGATCCAACAGTCCCAATCCATCTCCCCTCCCTCACATGGTCTCCCACACAGGTGACTAAGGAGCTAAACTCAAGTCCTAGTCGGAGAAGGACTCCCTATCCCCACCTCTCCCACCCCCAAGACCAGACAGCCAGGGTGACCACTGCCTTCTCTCAGCTCAGAGAGCCTTCAGGGTTGGCCTTGGCAGCAACACCTGCTCCTGCCTCCTCCATCCCTTACTCCCTCAATCGCTCCTCCCTCGGGACCCCCAATGGAGCCACAGAGGACTTTAAACAGAATCCACCTTTCCCAGTGTCCCCATGGCATCTGGAACTACCCAGACAAGGGTCCAGCTCCACTGGACAACCATCCTCAGCCCCAAGCTCAAAGAAAAGGAGGCTGCCCCTAAAACCCTAAAATAATCTGCCCTAAGTCCTCAGCAAAAGAAGGATCCCCTGGGCCCAGTAGAGCCTGTGATCTGAACCACAGGGTGCCTCAGACCCAAGCCCCTCTTTCAGGCTGGGGTGGGGCCCTCAGTGCTCGCATGCCTCTGTGTATACTCCCCGCCCTGGTCCTCCACGCCAGGCACTCGTTGAACTCCTGTGATATTCTAGGTATGAGGATGGTGATGCCGATGAAGCAATTACCAGCCCTGAATGAACTCATGGGGAAGGAAAGCACCAGAAAGGTCATGACCAGAGGTGTTGTTTCTCAAACACTTGCTAAGGTGCCAGAGCCGGTTCTAAGCACTTAACTTTAATAATCTCGAAGGGAGGCAGCAGATGAAGAGAGGAGGCCCAAGGTCACATAGGGAGCAATGACACAGCTGGTATGCACCACCTGCTCCCTGTGGCTGCACAGCCTGTGAGCTTTCCGTCGTGCAACCCGACCATGGCTGTGGCGACCATCAGCACGGGGCAGCAGATCCTGGGGAGAAGCAGAAAACACCTGCAGCTAACAGGGACTAGGGATGGATAGCTGCAGCCACCTCATCCAGGCCCCAGGAAGAGTCCATGAACTCGTCAAGTTCCTTTTGCTCCAGGAACCACAGCAAGGCCAGGCTCCCAGGGGAACACTCAGCAGAGTCGCACAGGTTAAGACAAAAGGTCATAAGATTTGGGAGTAGGGCAAGTATATGGACATCCTGTTTTTCTCCGACATTGCCAGCCCAGCTCCTGACATGTGAACTTGGACCAGGCTCTACCTTATGCTGTATTGGGTTGGGGGGCGATCTGTGGCAGGGCAGACCCCCTTCCTCTGGTGTGGTGAGCTGAGCTAGGGATGCTGAGTCCCACTCTCCTGTTCCCCCATGTGGGTAAACCATCTGCATGGAGAAGCTGCTGTAAAGATGGGAACAGTGGCCAGGGAGGTTGGCAGGACCACCAGAGCCCACCTTCTCCCTCGCCCACACCCTGTGACAGACATCAGACACATCCCCAGTCCTTACACACACCTTCTTTCTGAGCCCCAAGGAGACCCCGTCAAGAAGCATTTGCTTGGCCCATGTGGAGGAAGACCCTTCCCAAGACAGGCAGATGGGTACCCACATGAGCATTCCCAGTGTACCCCACACCAACTGAGTGCTACGGACAAAGCAGTGTCTTTTGAATAGAAATCTGGGAGTCCTCAAGAAGACAAAGGTGGGGATGTGGAAAGATAAGAGTCAGACTGAGTCGCTGAACCCCATAGCTGCTACTGGGGCAGCCCAGGGGGATGGCAACTCAGGGTGAGCTGGGGAAGCCCATGTAGGAGTCAGAGCTGAAAGGAGGCAAGAAGAGACCAAGGCAGCCCCATCAGCTGGTACAGAGTCTCCATTGCCCTTTTCTCCATGGCCATTGGGGAGCTTGTGGAACATCTCGGAGCTTGGAGATAGAAACTCATTTCCAGCACCCGTTAGGCAGGGCTGTAGAGCATAGGGAATAAGAAAAGGCAGGCTGGAGGCAGGGAGGCCAGCAAAGAGGGAGCCAGGACCATGGAGGGCGTGATGGCTAAAATGACATCTTCAGGATGAATCGGAAAGGGGGTGAATGAGAGAGAAGAGGCCAGGATAACTTCTGGGCGTCTGGCTTGAGTTTCCAGGTCTCCCAGTATGGGGACAAGAAAACAGCAGAGCTGTGGACACACGATCTCCCACACCTAGCGAGAAAGGCCTAGGTCTAGGGGATCATGGGTAAACACGAGCAACTGCAGCCATGGGTATGCCTGGGGTGAGCCAAGGAGAAAGGAAAGAGGAAAGAGGACACATCAGCATGCAAGCAGGGAGCAGAATAAGAGTTGCCGCAGCTCTGGGACAGGTGCCCTGGGGTGCAGAGAGCAAGGGGAGGAGAAGCGGGCTTGGAGGAGGAGGGTTCCCATCCAGGAGTTTGGAGCCTGCATGTTTGGAGGCAGAACCATGTGGTGGGTGGGGATAACAGGCCAAGCTGAAGTCATCAAGTCTGGGAGAGGGTGATTACTATAGGAAGTAGAACTGGGGTATCCCCTCCTGGGCCTCCTTCTCCCCAACTTACCCCTCAGCTGGCCAGCCTTACCTTTTCCCCAATTCCCCATTCTATCCCAGACCCCACTGCTGCCTCTGCTATTGGATGCCCCCCGGGGCTGTAGATTTGATTCACTTGCCCCTGCACCATCTAAAATGTTCCATGTTTGCCAAGGGCCACCATCCAGGAACTGTGTGTGTCCTTTGTGTGCTGGAAGGACCCATGTCTCCTGTCTTCACATGATAAGCCACCTGGGTTTGTCTGTTGGTCAGCTGCTCAGCCTGACTGCACCCCACTCCCTGCTCCCACTCCCATTAGCCTGAAAACAAAACCTTAGGGAGGACCCTCAGAAACCAAGCCGACATCCAAAGTACATTTGCAAACAAGAAGGAAAGTTTATTGAATTTTCTTTTCTTTTTTGTAGAGAGGTTGTGAAATCACAGAGTAGCTGGGTCAGGGGATGAGGACTCCAATAGAGAGAAGAGTACAAGGGGCTGGCCTAGGGGGAAGTCAGGGACAGGTGCTGTGGGCCCCTCCCACAGGCAGCCACCTGCTTGCTCCTCCTTCAGCTGCTGAAGAAGGGGGAGAGGATGCCAACTGGACCAATGGTCTAGGAGCGGCGGGTGGTGTCTGAGACGCGACGGCTTGCAGAGGAGGAGGAGGAGGCTGTGCCGGTCATCCTTGGAGAGAGGAGAGAAGCGACCATGAGCAGAGGATAAGCAAGGGCAGGTGCCTACCTGTCTGAGTGCAGTCACCGGGGCACCATGGGAAGTTATTTTCTTTCGCTGTGTCCCAAGCTCAAGGGGCCGTTGTACCAGGTGCACACCAGGTCTGTCTATCTGTGAGGCCTCAATGGGTCCCAAGAGTCAGGACATTCACTTGCCAGAGGCATTGTCCTCCTTCTGGACTGCCCAGCCTCCCCTGAACCCACAAAGATGAGGTGATCTCTGCACAAAGTCCCCCTCCTCATAGCTTGGAATAGCTGGTCTGAATCCAAGGCAACCTTCTTCCCATCTTAGGTGTCCTTCCTCCCCAGGGTCCCTATTCTTGCCAGCCGCATTTGGAGACCTGGGTTAGAGAGCTTCAAGGTGCTAGTGCCTGACTCCAGACAAAAGGAAAGCTGTGGCCCTGGCTCTGCTTCCAGGATGAGGTTAGCCGAGGCAGAGGGACCCCGCTGAGCTGAGCCAAGCCGCGGGGAGAGGCAGGCGGCCAGGGACCTACCTGGCATCCTGGCCCTCAAGCAGGCTGCGGTAGGTGGCGATCTCCTGCTCCAGACGTGTCTTGATGTCCAGGAGCATCTTGTATTCCTGGTTCTGGCACTCCATCTCACTGCGCAGCTCGCTCAGCTGAGACTCAATGCTGCTGATGAGCCCCTGGATCTGCTGCAGCTGCAGGGCGTAGCGGCACTCCGTCTCTGCCACTGTGTTCTCCAGCCCGGCTTTCTGCAGGATCGGGGAGAAGGGTGACAGGGATGAAGTGACGAGGCGCTCATGCTAGAGGCTGCCCCATAGACAGCAGCAGGTTGTAAGTAGGCAGCAAAGGGTACCGTGCTCAGCTGAGACTGCAGCTCGATCTCCAGACCCTGCAGCGTGCGCCTGAGTTCAGTGATCTCTGTCTTGCTGGTCTGAATCATGGCAGTGCTGGACGACACCTCCTTGTTGAGCTCAGCACTCTGAAATTCAGACAGGAGGACCATGATGGAGGAGGCCCCTTAGGCACCTCCTGAGCAAGAGGCTGTGTCCCACCTGCACTTCCCCAGCTACCACCTTGCTGTTGAACCATTCCTCCGCGTCCCGTCGGTTCTTCTCTGCCAAGGCCTCGTACTGCTCCCTCATCTCAGCCAGCACACGGGTCAGATCGATACCTGGGGTGGCGTCCATCTCCACGTTGACCTGGCCCACCACCTGGTTGCTGAACTCCTTCATCTCCTGTAGGGATGGGAAAGGAAGCTGCGTGCAGGGTTCCTCCCTCTCCTTGACTTTCAATGTTGACAATGTTCTGCAAAGTGCTTCCAGCCCCGCCCCCCCCAAGTAGACAGCCAAATCTGGCTCCCCTTTCTCCCAGAAGGTTCTACGGCTCTGCCAGTCACCCCCACTCACATCCTCATGGTTCTTCTTCATGTAAGCCAGCTCTTCTTTCAGGCTCTCGATCTGCATCTCCAGGTCGGTCTTGGTCAGGGTCAGCTCGTCCAGCACCCTGCGTAGCCCGTTGATGTCGGCCTCCACGCTCTGGCGCAGGGTCAGCTCATTCTCATACCTGGAGTAATTTTAAACAACATTTTTTAAAAAGAAAGAAAGAAAGTGATAGGTCATCCCTGTAGCATTCTCTGCTGCTCCCCACAAGACTTTGGGCCTGAGCAGCCCTATGTCATGATTATGACACACATATGTCAAAAACAAGAGACGGCTGGGTCCAGCAGGCAGGGGCACTCACTTGAGCCTGAAGTCATCAGCCGCCAGCCTGGCGTTGTCAATCTCCAGGATGATCCGGTTGTTGTCAATGGTAGCTGCCAGGATCTATACAGAAGCAGGTAACCTAGGCTGAGCTGGGGGCTGAGAAAGTAGAGCCAGAGCCACTTTGCCCCAGACCCTGCCTTCTAAGCCAGCCTCAGTGTCTGTTCTAACAAGCAGGTGTTGCAGCGTGATGGACAGGCCTCACGGAGGGCATCCAGGCTCAGTTCTGCCCACACCTCTGAGCCTCCCACTTGACTGTGTTCATTTACTCCAACCTAAGAAGCAGGTTTCTGTTGGGCCCTACACAGCAAGCTCATAGTCTCAGAACAATGAATGAACATGCCTCTCTCTGTTGATTTTAGTCACCCAGGCTGGCTTTTGCAGCTATCAACACTTCCAAATAACTCAGCAGGTTAGGGTTACAGAGATCAACTCACTAACAGCTTAGCAATTTGACATGCAATTTTTAAAAGTGACCTGAGTAAGAACAACAATACAATAAAAGAGGAAGCATGCACATGGGGAGCTGGAGCTAGACGCCTCTGCTGCAAAAGGACTGCGACTCCTCAGACACCTGCTCACCCTCAGGGCTCTGCGCTGCCCTGAAGAACCCTACTCCACACCCCAGGGCTCACCTTGTCCCGCAGCTCCTCAATGGTCTTGTAGTAGGGGCTGTAGTCACGCTCCGGGCTGCTCGGGCTCTGCCTCTGGTACCAGTCGCGGATCTTCACCTCCAAGTCAGCATTGGCCTCCTCCAGAGCGCGCACCTTGTCCAGGTAGGAAGCCAGGCGATCGTTGAGGTTTTGCATGGTGATCTTCTCATTGCCAGAGAGGAGGCCACCGTCAGCACCGCCGAAGTCACCAAAGCCACCACCGAAGCCACCTCCGAAACCACCTCCAAAGCCACCTCCGAAGCCACTACCAGCCCCAGAACCAAAGCCGAAGCTTGCACCACCTCCATAGCCACCAGCTGAGCCTCCCGACACAAAGCGGGTAGAACAGGTGGAGACACTGCGGCCTCCCCCCAGCTGGCAAGAGCCACCCCCAAAACCACCACCGTAGCTGGTGGAGGAGCTCTGCAGGCGACAGCTCATGGTGCAAGCAAGTGAGGGAGCAAGTGCAAGCAGGAGCTGGGCTTGGCCTGGGCCGAGGACGATGGCTCTGCTGCAGTTCGGACGCCTTTTATACACCTGCAGAGGGGCTGGCCATCCTCTCTCCTCCCTTCCCCACCCTCTGACTTAGTGCCAACTTCCCTGCATTTCCCACAAGCCCAGTTGCCTCTGCTCTGCAGGGTGGGTTGAGCCTTTTGGGGGTGGCTTTTTTTCTAATCCTTAACAAAAGAGATGATTCAGAAGGAACAGTGTACTGCTTAAGACTCCCCTTTTGTCAATGAATTCTGGTTCACCTCTCCATGTCAGGAGCTCACTCCACAGGCTCTTGGTCCCACCCAGTTCTAGAACAAGAACTGAACTGCCAAGAACTGCCAGCAAACCTCCAGGGAAAGGGCAGCTGCCACTGACCCTGGGCCCTATGAGGCCACCATGACCCTCAGCCTGTCCTCTTCCTGTCTCTTAAAACTTCTACCCAGAATATCCTGCCTCCTTCTTAGCACTTGATATACCCCCAGCATCAGCACCAACTCTGCAGGCAAACCCTGGTGGTCCTGCACAGTCAGTTTCCTTGATGGGTGTTTAGGCTGAGAAAGAAAGGGCTGCAAGGCCGTCAGAAAGAAGTCACAGTGACTGGAGCCAGCACAGTAATTCAACAGGTTAATCCTCCACCTGCAGGCACTCTGGAATCCCATATCGGCACCAATTCATGTCCCTGCTGCTTCATTTCTCATCCAGCTCCCTGCTTGTGTCCTGGGAAAGCAATAGATGACAGCACAAAGCCTTGGAACCCTGCACCCACATGAGAGACTCAGAGGAGGCTCCTGACTCCTGGTTTTGGTTCAGCTCAGCTCTGACCATTACAGCTTCTTGGAGAGTGAACCAATGGATGGAAGATCTGACAAAGGACCTCAAGAGCATGGATTCTGCACATCCCAACAGCTGACATTCTCAGAGCCCTTGCTGCCAGCAGCCCTGGGTCAAGTTTGGTACTTCATGCCTTGCTGAGCCATTTGAGCAGAGATTTTATAACAGAGTCAGAACTGAAATCCATACCTGGTTGTGTTAGATATGGAGGCTTGTCTTCCAGCCATGTGTTCGTGCAGTGACATGTGCAGCTCCCAGGTGTCCAGTGTAACCACCACTCAGCACTTCACCCACTCCCATCTCCTGGTACCCTTTCTCAGCTACTCCCACACCCCTGATGCCACTGCTGGTCCAACTTCCATTACCATGGCTGGGGCCACTATGCTCCCCAGGGGACACTGGGCAGTGGTTTGAGACATGATGGCCATAGGTGGAGATGCTGCTGGGATGCAGGGGATGGCAAGCAGGGATGCTGCCCAACTCCCTGCAACACACAGGACAGCCCCCATTACAAAGAATCAGCAGGTCTAAGAGGTCAACAGAGCCTAGTGGAGAAGCTCCCAATCTGCCAGATCTGTGGGTTTATTGCTCCATGGTAGGGACTAGCATTAGGGTGCAGTGGGCTTAGCCACTGCTTGTGATACCAGCATCCTATTTGAGAGCACCAGTTCAAGTCCCAGCTGCTCTACTTCCAATCCAGCTCCCTATTAATGCACCTAAGAAAGCAGCCGAAGATGGCCCAAGTACTTGGGCCACTACCGTCTACATGGGAGACCAGAACAGAGGCTCCTGGCTTCTGCTTTACCTAGCCCTGGATTTTGTGATTATTTGGGAAGTGAACCAGTGAATGGAATCTCTCTCTCTCTCTTTCTTTTTCCTTTTAAATCAAATAAATGACTTCAAAAACAATGAATCCATTGCACTGACTGTCCCAGGGACACAGCCAGGTCCAGCAGGAAGCATAGGTGCTGCATGAATAGGATCCTGCCATGAGACACGAGTCCCAGCTTGTGAGTAAGTGACAAAGAGGTCACGCAGGAGGCTGTGTCCTGGGGCCTGCAATAGAGGGCCAGGGCCAGGGACTGTGGACAACCTCCAGAGACCTGTTCTGGCCATGCATGGCTGTCACCAGAGCCTGGCTGGACCAAGCCAGGGGAGGTGGAGCAGGTGGTACAAGCTCACAATGATCCTAGAACCCTGTGCGCTGATTAAGCAAGACCTGAGTCAGGGCTTTGGGGCCCTTTGTTGACTGGGGAAGCAGCCTGTGCTTCCCCCAGTGGGCAGCAGCACCTGGGGAGAGCCAGGCGTGCTTTGCTGCCCAAGCCCTGCTGTGTGGCCCGCATTGCAGCTGACCTCTGACCCTTGCCGGCCCTGCTGCTCTAAGCTGATGGCTCAGCTGCCTCTCTGAAAAAAAATGCATGATTCAGCCCAAACAGGAGCTCCCGCACTCTCGTGGAGGATCAAAACTGACAAGAAGGGGATTAAGGAAACCTGCCAAGCCTGGGGTGACCATGCCCCAATCCTCCCAGGGCTGACGGGCGGGTTCAGGCCAACGCCTCGCAGAGGAATAATGGGGTGGATCCTCCAAAGTCACCCAGAATGTCCACGACCTACCTCCCCTGGCAGGGTCAAGGCATATGGACCCCCCGCCAGCCACCAGCCACCAGGCCCTCTCAGGTCCTGCCCCACACTCACGGTGAACCCCAGGACTCGTGGATCCCCAGAGAGGCAGAACAGTGCCAGGCTGGGGCATGGCTGGCTTGCCCTGAGTTTTCTGGGGTGGCCCCCACACCAGTCCCACATCAAGGCACAATGCCCCCTGCAGGCCCCATACTTGCTGCCACTCAGTCCCAGAGCTGTTGGGGCAAGTTTCAGGAGCCTCGCAAGACAAGGCAGCTGAGATCTGGGGAGGACAACTCATTGCCAAGGATACCACTGATCTCTGGCTCTCTCTGCACCACCTGATGGTGTCTGGCAGCTCAGCCAAGAACCCAACTGGTCAGCCACATCCACGCTGCCACGCTGGGATGTGGTGGCTTTCAAAAAAAAAAAAATCACACCACCAACGGCAGTCGTCCTGAGTTTGGGCCCACAAAAACTCTCCTGAGTAATAAGGGAGCTGGGTGCACCCTGGGTTCAAGGTCGGCTTGCAGCCCCAGTTTCAGCCCCCAAAATGCCTGACTGCTGGGAACTTGACAGTGACAGGAACATCCTTAAGGTCTTGGGGAATCTCTGGGTGCAAGCCAGCAAGATTTTCAGCTACAGCACCACTCTCTGGGGAGGTGCCAGAGGTGATAATTCATCACACCTCTTTGTAAAGTTTCCACACGAATCCTAGGACTGTAGTGCTCTGAGGTGACCTTCGTGCCCCAGCTCCCAGAAGGCAGAGGTACCACCACCAAGACACTCCTGAAGCTTGTCCTGCATCTCTCTTTACCCGGCTGTTCACTTGCGTTAGGATGCACTTCGCAATAAGCCAAAAATAATGACTCTACTGGGTTTGTTCTTTTACTTTGTTTTGTTTGCAGTACTGCACATCACTCCATCAAATCACCAAATCCCAAGAAGGCGACACACACAGGAAGCCACAGTATGTGGCTTTGGTGGACAGAAGCTGTGGGCGATTCACTGCTATTGGCCTTGGAGGGAGGGGCAGTTTTATGAGGCTGAGCCTTTCTTTGACCCATGGGTCCCCACTGACTTGGCTCGAGGACACCCAGCTGGTGTGGAGGAACACACCCAGGTTGGAAGTCCCACGTGCTGCTCTACATTGACTATGAGAACAGGGGAAAAGGAGCAGCCGCTCTGTGCTGACAGATACCGAGAGTAACTGACGTCCATGGTGGAAAATGTTCAGTGCTCTGTGGGCATCATCTATTTTCGGTCTACAACCTCGCACACCTTGGTTCAGATGAACAGACGAGGCCCAGAGTGGTCAAGTACACAGCCCATTGCCTTTGATGTTCCAGGCCCCCCTGTCATCTCACACCAGCCTGATGGGTGGTCCGGCAGTGGCGAGGGCTGTGCTGCTAATGGACTGGGTGTATCCCCCATCTGAGCTCAGGGCAGGGGATGCTCCCCAGCCCATGCAGGGGGGCACTGAGCGCAGCACTGTGTAGAGCTTCCTTGGGCCACCCCTTCATGTCGCAGGTGGGGAAACTGAGGCCCATGGCAGCCAGAACCAGATGAAAAAGCACAGGTTCCGGGCTCCACCACCAGCCCTGTGGGGACTGGACATTGAAGCTAATAAGTTCTTTTCCATTCTATGACCTAAATCTCAAAGAGGAGAGTCAGGTGGTTCAAGGGCAAGGCTGAGACCAGAGCCCATGCCCCAGTTTCTAAGTTCAAATTCCTTGCTTCGATCTCTCTGTTTCTCTCGACCCAGAGGGACCCAGGTCCAAGGTCCCAGGATGACTGATTCACATGCCAAAGGGTCCTGAGATTTTTCAGGCAGACCCTTGCCAGGCACTAGACCCAGACCCCCTGGGAAGCTCCCCATCCCTCAAGAAGCCTGCTCAGCAGTGCACTGCTGGAAGTATTTTGGGACTCCATGCCACACGTGTTTGCCTCTCCCGGGTTCCCAGATCTCCCTTCCCTCTCTCACCAGCTGCACGACCAAGCCAAGGCTTAGGGTAGGCTGGATCTTAACTGTCGTCTTCCACCTGCCAGCAATTAAGTGCTGTGCAACCATGGGGAAGCCACTCAATCTTGCCCTGCCTTGGTGGCCACCCCCGGAAATGGACAGCCGAGGGGTTCACATGCGGGGCTTCTGCGATACCTGAAACATGAAACTCAGCAGGCAGAAGGTTACCGATACCTCCCTTTGACAAGCGGAGTTGTTAAGTCACCCGCCCAGGAGTCCTCTGAGTACCCACACACACCCCACCATACTGTGCCAACCCTTTGCTCCCTCCCTTCCCTCTCTGCTCCCAGCAGCCAGCATAGTATCCATAGCAACCAGATAAATATCAGCAGGTGGCATGGCTATTGTTTTCGCTCACTCCCTTTCAAGTTCCCTAAGGACAGGATCTGCGTCTTAATGCATCTCCAAAAACTGCTTCTGGCAGAGGGACACCCCTAGCAGACATCTGAGAGTCGGGGGATTTTTTGTCTGCTCGTGTTGGATGAGAGGGAATGGCCAACAGAAGGGGTGTCCCCCGAGTGTCCTCCAGCTCCAAACCTTAGCAGCAACCCTGCCAGCGCCCCCAGTGTCCCGACTGCCCATGGAGGAACAGGTGGCCCCCAAACAGGCACACACCCAAAACACCAGTGGATGTCCAGAGCTATGTTGAAGGCAGGGACAAGCAAGAGAGAAGCAGGTTCATGTATTAGTTCAGCAAGGGTTCATGCAGCACCCAGGCTGAGAATTCGGCAGGGCACAGATGGACCGGGGTTCCTGCTGTCCTGGAATTTATGTCCACAAATCATATTTCCAGCCAGAATCTTCAGTTGACAGTTGGCAAAACTAAGACCCAAAGGAGAAGGTATTGCCACAGTCTTTAGGGACACAGGGGCAGGCTTGCCCCATGCCTGCTCTGGGAAGCCCAGCCTGAACAGAGGACACACCCAAGGCCCTAATCTCCAGTCCCAAAACCGCCCTCTCTCTGCGGGGACAGGGAGGTGGGGCAGAGGGGATCAGCTGCTGCCTGGGTCCAGCCCGGGCAGGAGTGAGGCGTGCCACTGCCCAGAGACTACTTAAAGGCTCGGCAAGGCATGAAAAGCCCCTAGGTGTGAGCAACTGACTGCAGGGTCTGTCGCGGGACAGAGCTGGGCCAGTTCCAAGGACACCTCTGATGGTCCCCACCAAGGACCACAGATGAGCAGGCACTCCCAAGGGACAGAGGCGGCTTCTCCCACTTGGCAGCTGGGGTGTGCCCACAGCTGAGCCCACCTCACCCATCCTCATCGTCAACAGAGACTGGTACTGCTGCCCACGTAGAGGCCGAAACACCCTCTGTGAGCTGCTCAGAAGGTCTGAGACCTCTCAATGGGGCCCAGCGCCCGGAAGACACGAGCCGCAACCAGGTCAACAGTCCCTGCTGCCGCCTCCAGCTGGAGCCCGACTGTTGCCGGCTGTAGCTGATCCTAGGTACCCTGGGTGAAATTACACCACAGCAAGAAAGGCTCAGGTCAGAGGTGAAGACGTTCCTGCTGGTGGCCCTGGCTGTCCAGAGGCTGACCAGACTGTCCAAGGAGGTGGAGAAACAGGTTGCAGGGTCAGGCGTGGGACCCAGCAGCCATGGTGCCACCCGGGGCTATATTCCACATGGCAGTGCCTGAAGTTTAAATTCTGTGTCCTCCCACCATCCCAGCCTCCTGCTGATGGGCAGCCTGGCAGGCAGCTGGTGGCAACTTAAGGACTCAGGTCCCTGTTACCCATGTGGGAAACTCAGATGGAATTTCTGCTCCCAGCTTTAGCCTGGCCCAGCTCAGGCTGGCTGTTGTAGACATTTGGAGAGTGAACCAACAGAAAGAAGACTTCTTTCCCTCTCTCACTTTCTTCTGCCTTCTAAATAAATGAAACCAAACAGACTCTAAAAATTGTTTAGGGGCCAGCACAGTGACTTAGCAGGTTAATCCTCCACCTTGCAGTACTGGCATCCCTTATGGGCACCAGTTCTAGTCCCGGCTGCCTCCTTATAGACTAGAAAAGCAAGGTTAAATCAGTGGATGAAGGATTCTGTGGGGTGTGTATGTGTGTGTGTGTGTGTGTGTCCTCTATAAATCTGCCTTTTGAATAAAAATAAATAAATCCTTTTTTTAAAAAAAATTTTTTTAAGAAAATTGTTTACAAGAACTGAGTTTCGGATTCACACATTTTCCTAGGACAGGTATTGCAGCTTGTCATCTCCTGGTGCCCAGAGCAAAGCAAGGGTCAGGGACCAGGGAGACAGGTTCCAGACCTCGTTCCACCATCTCCGGGCCTGTAACTGAACCTGCTAGGCCTCTGTGTCCTCTCTGGAATCTGACACTGCCGCCTGCCCCGCACAGGGTTAGGGAGAGGCCGTCAGGATGCCTGTCTGGGCCTGGCAAGTTGCAGACAGCCCATCAGCTACACCTCTTCCCGCAGCCCCAGGCTGTTCTCTGTTAAAGCCTCAGCAAAAATAGGCAGCCCCCTTCTCTCCAGCCAGGGTTGGTGGGGAGGGGGCTCTGCCTGGTGAGACACATGGAGATTCTCAGGGAGGGCTCGATTCTTCCCACAGGAGATAGGGTTCATGGGGCACCTCCAGCCTGCTCTTCCCAGCGGGACCAAGAAACCAGGTCTGCCTCTTCCTGCCCAGGTTTCACTCTCAGACCCGAGCCAACCCAACTGGGGCACCTGGAGTTTTCAGCCTCCTGTTTCCTGCCCTCTGCTCTAGGCTGTGGAGTCCAGAGCTATGAGGATTCAAGGCAACAAGTCAAGTGTACAGGGCAGGCATTACTGTAACAGGCCCCAGGGGAGACCCCAGGGAGGGCATGGGAGGCACAGGATGTGGCTCAGAAGGGGCAACAGAAGATGATGTTTATTGGACTTAAGGAAAATCAAGGAAGGCTTCCTGGAACTGGTGTCCTCCCCTCCAGGCATTTTAAAGAACTTCTTGGAAAGACAGCTGGGATGAGGGAAGGGCTAGGGATGGGAGGTCAGGAGTACTCAACTAAAAAAGAAAGGGGGCTTCAAACAGCACATGAGGTGGGTGCCAGAGCAAAGAGGGGGATCCCAGAGTTGGTTCAGAGCAGACTCAGGTTGTTGAGCCATTCAGCAGTAGAGCTGCTGCCCATCATTAAGGCCACGGGCAAGCCGTTCATCTCTGTGCCCACATTGTCCTCCCCTCTAAGCAAGAGATTATCGATCCTGATGGGTGCGACACAGAGGAGATTCTGCACAATGGACGTCACTGGCCACTTGGTCAGCAAGGTGGATGGAGCCCTGCAGAGATGCCATTCCCAGGAAGCTCCCTGTTCCAGGCTCCTACACACCCCTTGGGGTCAACCAGAAGAGCAAGGTCCCCTGATGGGAACTGGGCTTGTCCCAGGCACCTGCGCCCCAGGCACCCCCCCAAGGCATGAATCATAATCATGGAGGGAAAAGGCCATGTTGGAGTAAGATGACAACAGGTGGACCCCGACCTCCTCAGAGAGACCAGTCTGAACCCCAGCAAGAAAAACTGTACATTCTACCCAGAGACATTAGAAGAGGAACAGCGATTCTTTATTGTAGGAGAGGACACCATGCAAAGCAGCTCGTTGACCCAGGACAGTTGCTTCCTGCAGGTCCTGGCCCTAAAAGGTAGAACCCGGACGGGGGAGGCGTGTAAAACTTCAAGCTGGGAGCGTGCTCTTGGGGGCAGGACTGGACTCCACGCAGCCTGGACTCCACGCAGCCTGAGCACTCAGATTTCTCTCTTGCGGGAAGAAACCACCTTGCCATTCACAGACTCCTCAATATGAACACGGAAACCACTGCTGCTGCCGCTGCCGCCACCACCGCCACTGCCACCACCGCCCAGAGAGACTAAGGGGGGGAATAAGGGCAGGTGTCAGAGTAGGGGAGCCTCCCATTCCTCTCCCCAAGGTGGCTGGGAGAACTGGACAGCACCACCACCCAAGAGTGGCCTGAAGCCAGGAGGTCAGGTGCTGAATGAATCACTCGTCAGGGAACCAGCGGCAGCCAAGGCAAGTGCGTGCCCAGCACTGAGCCACAGGTCAGAGATTTGAGCAGCTCATGGGTGAGGCATGATCATGGGCCTCTCAGCTACGAGTGCATGACAAGGAGACTCAAGGAGCCAGCCCTGGACCAATCCACCGCCTTGGAAGTCTCAACAAATCCCAGTCCCATGGGAGCCAACAGAGGGTTCCAGAACAGTGGAGGGCAGTAAGGGGTAAGCTGGTGAGTGTCCCCACCCTGCGGGGTGCAGGCTTTGCTTCTGCTCCCTCCCTGCCCCTACAGGGGCAGTCAAGCCTTCTTACCTTCTCGGATGCCCACATTAGCCATCCTAAAAGAGAGAAGGAACCGAGGTCAGTGGCGAAGAGGGCTCGGGGTGCCTGAGGGAGCCTTATATACAGTCCCTCCCCTCCCAACCTCTCCCTCCACACACACCCGACACCTCTAGGGGCTGGGACATCCTGACTACCCGAGAAGAGAGCTCCTGATCTTTAGCAGTCTAAGAGTTTTCATGCAGACAATGGAAGGTGCACCAACCCAAGTGTTACCATTTAGCTAAGAAATACGATGTACAGAGGTAAGATGACCTGCCTAATGCCATGCTCATAGATCGGTGCAAAGTCCAGACCCCCTCCACACATGCCTCGGACCATGCAAGGAGGTCTTGGGGACCCCTGCTCTATCCCCTTAAAATGGCCCCACAGCCCCATCCTCCCTCCTGATCCTGTGATCACATCCTACTTGGCATCCTGGCCCTCAAGCAGGCTGCGGTAGGTGGCAATCTCCTGCTCCAGCCTTGACTTGATGTCCAGCAGCCTGTTGTACTCCTGGTTCTGCTGCTCCATCTCACAGCGCAGCTCGCTCAGCTGCGCCTCCAGACTGCTGATGAGCCCCTGGATCTGCTGCAGCTGTGTGGCATAACGGCACTCAACCTCCGCCAGTGAGTTCTCCAGTCCAGCTTTCTGCAAGGGTGGGGTACACATATCCAACAGACACATTAGGCAACAGAAGACCTGGGGCCAGGTGGGAGGCAGGGAGTCGGTGGCCGGACGAGGGCCTACCATGCTGAGCTGGGACTGCAGCTCGATCTCCAGCCCCTGCATGGTGCGTCTCAGGTCGGTGATCTCCGTCTTGCTGCTCTGAATCATCTCCGTGTTGGAAGCCACCTCTTTGTTCAGCTCCTCTGTCTGTGAGTCACACACACACACACGCACACACACACACACACACACAAAGTGAGCCCCAGGGGCTTCCTCCAAGGTGCTGAGGGGCCAAGCTGGGGTTGGAGGGGCAGCAGGTCAGGCCCACCTTGGTGAAGAACCAGGCCTCAGCGTCCCGCCGGTTCTTCTCCGCCATGGCTTCATACTGCTCCCGCATCTCTGCCAGCATGCGGCTCAGGTCCACGCCGGGGGCTGCGTCCATCTCCACATTCACCTGACCAGCCAGCTGGCTGCCAAACTCCTTCATCTCCTGCAGGTTGGAAGAGGGCAGAAGAGAGAGCTGAGAGTCTGGGGTCCCCAAGTGCCAGAGGACACAGGGACCCCTGCACCACTGAGCCCTCTGATGGCTGTGAGGAAGGAAGCAGCAATGGTCCCAACCCCCAGTCCTTGCCCGGCTCCCACCTCCTCATGGTTCTTCTTCAGGTAGGCCAGCTCTTCATTCAGGCCTTCGATCTGCATTTCTAGGTCAGTCCTAGCCAAGGTCAGCTCATCCAGCACCCTGCGCAACCCGTTGATGTCGGCCTCCACGCTCTGGCGTAGGGCCAGCTCATTCTCATACCTAGGGAGAGATTGCCCAGGTGAGGCATCCGGACAGCTGAGTCAGATGAAGAGGAAAGCCCAGCAAAGGGGCTGATACAGCAAGGGCAGGCGACAGGGGAGGACAGGACAGGTGCACACTTGAGCCTGAAGTCGTCAGCTGCCAGCCTGGCGTTGTCAATCTCCAGAATGACCCGGGAGTTGTCGATGGTGGCCGCCAGGATCTGCAGGAGATCAAAAGCTGCTGAATTTCAAGAACACCACCCCCCAGCCCCTCTGCTGCATCGCTGCTCTTCCACCACCTCCCTCACTCGCTCACCGAGCTCAAGGGAAGCCTGTGGAGCCTCTGGCACTGGATCCAGCCTCAGCTTAAGTGCCCATCACTTGGTCTGCCCCATGCTACCCTCATGGGACCCCTGAAGTGTTGCCCTCCCTGGCTCCAGATCATGGCCTGGGGCCCGCTGTGGACAGCTCCAACTCCAGCATTCTCCCAGACTCATCCTGAACTAGCCTCTCTGAGCACAGCTCCTGGTCACTGCCTCCTGCACCCCCTAATGAAGCTGTGGACACTTAGAAGGGAGCTAAGAGGGAAAAAAAAAAAAGGCATTTTGGAGATATGGAAACCAGTGTCAGTGAGGAAGAGGGTGGCAGAACCTGGAATGAGATCCCAGGTCCCCTGTGTCCTGACAGTGGATAAGCACGAGGTTCTGGCGCTTCGGACTCCTGAGGCTATACTCCAACACCAAAGTGCCAAGGAGGCAAAGGAATGCTTTATACAGATTCCTGCGAGGTGTATGGGGTGGGGAGGGCGAGTTGCTGACTGTAACTGCCCCCATCTAACCAGACTAGATCTAATCAGGCTCCCAAGAGCCCGCCCACATGGCCTCCATGAGACGTACACCAGCATTTGCACTTGAAAAGCAGGTGCATCACAAGTTGGCTGAGGTTGCACATCAGGCAGTCATCAGCTGGCCAGGAAAGGATTTCTGCACATCAGTAGACACATGCAGGGCACCAGACGCCTGCTCCTCTCTCATTGGCACCCAAGGACTCACCTTGTCCCGCAGTTCCTCAATGGTCTTGTAGTAGGGGCTATAGTCACGCTCTGGGCTGCTCGGGCTCTGCTTCTGGTACCAATCACGGATCTTCACCTCCAGGTCAGTGTTGGCCTCCTCCAGAGCGCGCACCTTGTCCAGGTAGGAGGCCAGGCGATCGTTGAGGTTCTGCATAGTGATCTTCTCATTGCCAGAGAGGAGGCCACCATCACTACCACCAAAATCACCGAAGCCACCTCCAAACCCCCCACCAAAACCACCTCCGGCCCCTCCTCCACCAAAGCCACAGTTCATGCCACCCCCATAGCCCCCTCCTGAACCCGAGGAAACAAACCTAGCAGAGGAAGCAGAGATACTGCGACTCCCACCTCCCCCATAGATGCTCCCCCCACCAAAGCCACCTCCTCCAGCTCGGAGAGAGCCCCCTCGGGTAGAGCCTCCCCCAAAGGTGGAGGAAGAGGTTTGCAGAAACGTGGTAGCCATGGCCAGGCAGCTGGAGCCGACAAGGTCTCAGCCAACACAGTGGAGACACCAGTAGCAGATGCAGGCTGGGCTGGGACCAGAGCGTAGCTTCCGTGGCTGCAGCCGGGGGCTCATTATATACCCCTCAGAGGGTGTTGCGGGGCCTCGTCTCCTCCCACCCGGAACCGAGCCAGCTCCTCTGCCTTCCCAACAAACACAGCTGTCTGCACACCTCCACGTGGCTCCTCACAGGTTGGTTTTGTTTTTTTTTTTTTTAATGCAACAAAAGAGATGATTCAGAATTAATGGTGTTTTGCCCCAGGCCATGATTTTAACACTTGAATTACGGGTCCATCTCTCCATTCCAGGAGAAAAGAGAGAGAGCAACAGGCAGCAGAGTCTTGGAGCCGTCTTGAAATCCCTTGGTGAATTTTGCCTGTCCCAAGGACATTTGGCATGTGCAGACCCTGGCCGCCACCATCTGCTGCCCTACAGACCCCTGCTCCCACAAAGTCAGCTGCCCCACTCTCAGCCAGGAACTCTACTTTCCAAACGTGGCTCTGTGCTAACAGTCTTTGTGTATGAGCCTGCCTGGCTGGGGCTTGAGCTGTAGGCTCCAGGGATGGCAGGAGAGGGGGACTTAAGCCAACCGTGGCAGCCAGAGAGAACAGCAGCATCTGTCCTTTCCTTAGTGCTACCAGACTGTTCTCGTCCTTCTCCTTCCCTCCCTCCAACCTCAGGACCCCCCCCTCCTGCTTCTCCAGTTAACCTCAGCTTCTAGCCCATGGACTTGGCACACTTGCAAAAGCCCAGCAGGCTGTGGACTGACAGGGGCTGATGGATAGTGCTGCCACCTGCCAACTGCTCATGTCCCTGAACTTCTGCTTGCTCCCGGGACAGGTTGGGGCAAAGTTCTGCAGATAAGGCTGGGGCAAGTTTCAGGAAGCCCCTGCCTTCTCCAGGAGAGACAAGTCGCTGCCTAGCAGGGACAGATTAACCCCTGTTTGTCCTGTTGGGCACTGTGGGCCCAGGGAAGGCCTGAGCTGCCTAAACATTCATTGCCAAGGAGAAAAGACACAGGGACATGTTGGGGGGCCAGAGATGGTGAAGATCAAGGCTTCACCAGCCAAAGAAGGGGACTGCGATCAGAGAGGGGGGTACACACTTGGCAGAACTCCCTCCTATATGCTCCAACTCAAGGCCACCTGACACCCATGGGCAATGCCACTGGGATCTATGGCTCAGCCTCTGGCCCTGGCTCCTGGACTTAAATAAAGTCCAAAACTAGAAAGTGAGCAAGAAAAGACGGGGAGAATTCAAAGTAGGGTTCCTGGCCCAAGGCTGCAGGGTAGTGCAGTGGACAGGGCTCTGAGTCCCTCAGACCTGGGTCCAAATCCTGCCCTTCTCAACACCACTTGGGACACCCTGGCTGTAGTGAGTCACTCCCCTGGGCTGCCTCATCCTATCCTCTGAGGACCTGAGTGCTGGGTTGCATATCCAGCCCTGAGATGCCCAAGCACTCTCCCTGGGAGGGAATTTGATCTTGAGCATCAGCACCTGCCCTGTGGACCTCAGTGTGCTCCGGGGCTGAGCAGTATCACCACTCTACCACCAGCTCCTATTGGGCTATGTGAGATGTTCTCAGCCTAGCCCTAAGAACAGGATCGTTTCCTTCCACCACATTCTGCACTGTGCACAAAGCACTCTTGCACCTGCCATCCCCTCTCATCACAAGAAGGAATAAAACTGGGACCCAGAGAGGTGAAGCAATGTGTGTAAGGCAGCACAGCAAGAACAAGGTCTCAGAGCCTCTGACCCCACATTCCTACCTCTGAGCTGGGGTGGAGAGAGAGAATTGCAAGCCTGGGTGGGGCCAGCCAGGCCCCAAGCAAGCACTGGCCCCAGACAGTGCAGTATTGTCTCGGGGTAAAAGGATATTGTCTTTTCCTCCAGAAGAAAAATAATCGAACCCACATCAGCCAGAGCCCATTAAAACCTCTGTAGACACCATGGCCCCAGCAATTACCACGGGAACGGTTACTTGCCCATCACCCCGAGGTACAACCAGCCTGGACTCCAGCCAGTTTCCCCTGCACCCTGACTCGTCTCTCCTTCCCACCCCATACCTTCAAATTCTCCCCTGTGGCTTTCCCTGGGCGAAAAGCTGCAACTGCTCCCTCATGGCTTCAGTCGCAAATTCCTGGCTTCCGTCCAAATGGCTTGGGGCTGGGGCAAGGCCCTGGGGCCTTCTCATTGGTTGGCACCAAGTGGGAAAATTTAGAGAGAATGATGCTGTGTTTGGCCCCCAGCCCAGGCTGCACCCTGGGGTCCCACCACAGGCAGCCTCGTCCAGGAGGCTGGGCCAGTTTCTGTCCTTTGCCCATTGTGGCCAGACAGTCCCCTGGAGCTGGGCCCTCCTGCCCTGGGCCGGAGCTGTGCAGCTCAATAGAAAGAACCAGGGACAGTTTCTGCTTCTGGGTGTCCCATGGCCTCTCACTCAAGCTCCTCATTTTCAATGGGTCCATCGGCTCCAACCCCCAGTCCCAGGACCACAGTGAACATGGAATGGCACATGGGGCCTGTGTCTCCAGAAACGCTGGAACCCTCCCAGTTCCCCAGCTCCCCCAAGGAGGTGCAAGGGACATGGGCACCCCCTGGCATCTGGCAACCTAACCTCCAAATCCCCCCTTTCCTTTGTATTCCGTGTGTGCTGCTTGTTAGCCTCAGTCTGCCAATCAGGAAAATGCAAATAATCCTCACCTGGCCCCACCTAGAGAAAAAGCCCACAATAATGGATAAGAAGGGCCCTACTCACTGAAGTAGCCATGGAGACAAGCAGAGATGAATTGCAGTTCCCATCACCAAGCTGCCATCTCCCTTCCCAGCCAGCTTCCTCAGACGCCAGCTCCCAGACAGGGACAGAGAAGTGTCCCCCACCCACCCCCAGGCACAAAGGCTCCATGCCAGACACCCAAGCCTGTGACCCAGTTGCCTACCCCACCCGTGTGGGCTCAGACCCCACCCCACAGCCACATTCCAGGTGACCCTGGAGCCCCAGGCAGGGTTTGCAATGACAATTAAGGCTTTCACGGACATGGCAAGCACAGCCTAGGGGTGTGGCTGAGCTTCTATCTCCAGCTCCAAGAGTCCCCAAGAGGAGTTTCCTGAGATGGGGTGCAGTGTGTGTGCTGCAGACAGGACGATGAAGGAGGTGGCAGAAGGTGCTTGTGCCCCCAACTGAGCAAGGACAGGGCAGAACCCAGATCCCGGAACCCCACGGGGAAACTAAGGGTGCAGCACCTTCTGCAGGGTGGCAGGAGCTGTGACGGGGCCTTCTCAGGGTGGGGACAGGAAAGGGATCGGTGTCCCTTCTCTTGTCGCTCCTTCACAGGACATACTCACTGTCACTCACCTGACCCTGATCCTCCTGGCCAGGGCCTTCTGGATGACCTCTTGTTCACCTCGAATTGGCTTGGTTCTTGGCAGGGATGGGATCATACCCATCCAAGGCACAGTCACCCCAGGGAAGCTGGGACTTTGTTCCAGACAAACCATGTCAGGGGTCTTTATGGGAGGTCTGGGTCACAACTGGGTCCCGTTCCAGGCTCCTGGCCCAGGAACAGACTAGTGGGTGTAAGCGGTTTATGCAGGGATGCCCCAGAAGGGGTGAATGTGTCTGTACTTGCACATACTTCAACAGTCTCACCCTACCCCCCCACACGCAAACCCATGGCTCCAGGCAGATGCCTAACCCCACAGTCCCAGTTTGGACTCAGGGGACAAACATGTTCCCACCTCAAGGGATCATGATGCCAAGCCCTCCTGCCCTGAGGCACAAGTGCTGTCAGCGCTGGGAGACCACGCAAGCAGAGGTAGTGATGACAACACCACCAGCCAAGAACCAGGAAACGCCAGCTCTAGCCCAGGCATTCCCCTGAGTACTTGACGTGTGACCCTGAGCAAGTTCCTCAACCCCTCTGTGTCTGCTTCCTGCTCTGTGAGACACAGTTCACAGCGCTTCCTCAGGCTGCTTTGGTGAAATGGCACACACACACCCCAGTTTTTCAATCCCTGGTTTCATAAGCTTCAATCCAAGACGGAGTGTAGCAGAAAGAAAACTCATTCTGGAAACCAACCCACCTTGGCCAGATATAAAGCAATCTAGACACACAAGGAAGCCCCTATGCTCTAGGGGCCCTGAATTCCAGATTTGTGAAATAGAAGCAGCGCTAACTTTGGTTCAAATAAAACCTAAAGAAGGAGAAACGAGGGCAGGATGAATTAATAACGCAAACCCCCACCTCTCTCGGGCCATAAAGTTTTATTGGCAGCTCAGGGGAAGTGCCCAGTGTAAGGGTCCCTCCGCTCCCATACCCCTACCCAGTGGGCTCTCCCTGCAGGAGGGCAGAGCCCAACAGCCCAGCTTTGACAGCTCAGATAACCTTGGGGGTGGGCAGGTTCTTTTAGTGGATGTCCTGGCCCTCGAGCAGGCTGCGGTAGGTGGCAATCTCCTGCTCGAGCCGTGACTTGATGCCCATGAGCTGCTGGTATTCCTGGTTCTGCCGCTCCGTGTCGGCCCGCACATCGCTCAGCTGCGCCTCAATGCTGCTGATTAATGCCTGGATCTGTGCCAGTTGCGCCCCGAAACGGGCCTCCGTCTCTGCCAGCGTGCCTTCCAGGGCCGCTTTCTGCAGGGAGGATGGGAGGAGGTGCCTCAGCAACACTTGGGCACGGCCATCACCAGCCAGGCTGCCCAAGATTGCCAGGGCTCCAGGTATATGATCCCACCGGGGAACAGGAGCCACATACCATGCTAAGCTGCGACTGCAGCTCGATCTCAAGACCCTGCAGGGTCCGCCGCAGGTCAGTGACCTCCGATCTGCTCGTCTTCAGCTGTTCCGTATTAAGAGCCACCTCCTGGTTCAGCTCCTCAGTCTGAAACGAGAGGCAGGGTTAGCACTGAGGCTGACCTTAGGGGGTGCACCTCAAGCTTCTCTCTCTCCCTTCCACCCCACCAGGAATGCCTCCTTCCCACTACATACCCGGCTGACAAACCAGGCCTCAGCATCCTTCCGGTTCTTCTCAGCCATGACCTCATACTGGCTTCTCATCTCACTCAGGATCTTGCCAAGGTCGACACCTGGAGCCGAATCCACCTCCACGCTCACCTGGCCACCCACCTGGCCCTTCAGGACACTGATTTCCTGGAAAGACAGCAGAGTTGAGCATGTCAGGGCCCAGGGCCTGCTGGGTTTGGGGCAAGTCACACACACATACACCCTCCGCTCTTTAAGCCCCAGGTCAAGGAGGAGGGGAGTGGAGTTCAAGTGTAGACCTTAGAGAGGCAGCACAGGGAGTGTAGACCAGAAGTCCATCACCCCTGCCGAGACCCAGCGAGCCCTAATCCATACGCATGGACATGCTGGAGGTGCAGCAAGCACGGCTGCAGCCAGTGAACACGACATAGAAGCATCCTCCACCCTGGGAGGCTGACGCAGGGTGGACAGAGGCACAGCATGTAGCCTACCTCCTCGTGGTTCTTCTTCAGGTAGGCCAGCTCCTCCTTCAGGCCTTCGATCTGCATCTCCAGGTCGGTCCTGGCCAGGGTCAGCTCGTCCAGCACCCTGCGTAGCCCGTTGATGTCGGCCTCCACACTCAGGCGCAGGGCCTGTTCCGTCTCGAATCTTCCAAGGGAGAGGACAGAGTTGAAATCAGACCAGAATTACCTCTGCACCTCGGAAGACCCACTTTGGCAGAGGGTGGAGGGGTTGCTTTGGACCAGCTGGGGTAAGGAAGGACAGAATCCAGACCCCCCTACACACACATACACACACACACACACACACACACACACACACACACTGTACCAAACCCCTGAAGGGCCCAGGCATGCCAGCGCCTGGTGGGTAGTCACTCACTTGGTGCGGAAGTCATCCGCAGCCAGACGTGCATTGTCGATCTGCAGGACGATCTTGGAGTTCTCAATGGTGGCCCCGTGAATCTGGAGGGCAGAGAGGGGGAAACTGGCACCGGCAGCACCAGGGCAGCACATTGCCGCTGCCCACCCACCTTCTTCCTCTGCCCATGCTCTCTACAAACCAGAGCCCCGGCCACCCATCTGCTGCCCAAAGACCTGCTCCCTGGGAGGCCTTGGAGTCAGCCCATGGCCAGGAGTCAGAGCTGAAGAAAACGCTGCAGGGGAAGCAGGGCTGGAGATTGGCCAGGACAGAAGCCTCGGTGACCTGCCTGCACTCAGTGAAGCCCTCAGTGCCCTGAAGAGGGCGCATAAGCCAGACACAGGGGAACAGAGTGCAGCCGGATGGAGAGAAGTACACCCCACTCTAACCACGTCTGCCTGCAGGGGGAACCCCACTTGTTGCATCTCTACTCTGCACCAGAAGCTCAGTGCTTCATCTTTGCAGCCTCTGGAAGCCCCACTGCCAGACCAGAGGTGGGAACTAAGCCCCAAGATGCTCCACCCTTGCCCACCACAGCTGAGGCCCCTCGATTGACCACTGACTAAGGGGGCAGTGTTTTTGAGAGAGCAGGTTCCAGTTCATGAGCCAGACTACCAAGGGATGATTTTGTATGCTTTGGGAATGAAACAGACCAGAATATTCATCTACAATATAGGACTGGGAAGGTAAAGGCTGACCCTTGGCACCAGCCGTCAAGTTATCACTTGAGGTGCCCAGGCTCTGCAACCCATTTTAGTTTCCCACACCCTAGGACGCAGCAGGTGACAGCTCAGCTACTTGGGTTCCTGGTACCCATGAGAGAGACCAGGATGGAGGGTCCTGCTTTCAGCTCCATCCAAGCCCTGACATTTGGGGAAGTGAACCAGTGGATGAGACAACTCTGACTCACTCACTTGCTCTTCATTTCAAATAAATAAAATTTTTTAAATAATGAAATAACAAAGATTATCCACAGTAGAGGAGGAATTGCTTTTAGAAACTCTTGCCTCCGTGCACGCATTGTGAGAACCACAGCAGCGTAATTCTTGTGGGACTCAATCTCATGCTTAGGAGACCAGCGACGCAACTCATGACCACGAGAGAGCAGTGCAAATCGCGCTTGGTGACTCTCCCTTCGCCCCTTCCTCCTCCAGCCCGCAGGGCCGCCCGCCGCTCAGCACTCGCTCGGAACTGCCGCTTGGAACTGCTGCCCCATCATGCCTCGCCCTTCCCCCGCGCTGCCCAGAGCACCGGAGCCCCTGCACCTGCGTCTCCCCAGGTGTGCTGGCCCCGGAGCCCAAGGCAGTAGTAGAGGTCAAGCCTGAGGGAGCAGGAAATCAGATCGACCGAAGAAGAAGGAATGCTGGGGTCCCAGAAGCTGGGAAGGTCGAAAGGAGACCGGCCCTCTCACGCCAAAGCTCCTCTACCTCCCATCTGCGGGCTTTGGCCGCGCCCCCCACCCCCGACCTGGACGTCTAGGCAGCCGAATGCCGCGTGCCATTGGCTGCCACTCTCGGGACCCCATGGCCCGGGCCTCACATACCTGCGGCCCGTTGGGCCTCCCCAGCCTGCAGTCTCGCCCCGCCGCCTCTCAGGGATCCGCCCACTTACCTGCCCGCCCAGCTCCAGTGCCCCTTCCCACCACCCCGCCCTCCGTTTCCTGCTCCAGGGTCCTACCCTCAGGTCCTGCCCCGGTCTCCAGCTCTCTTCACTCTGCCCCAACCTGGGAGCCCTCCCAAGCCCTAATGGGCTCAATTCCTGGAGGTTGCCGGGCGCTCACCACCCACGCTAGCGTCGCGCCCAGCCCAGCCCAGCCCAGCCCGCCGGGCCGGGATTCCGCGGCCGCCGCAGCAGGTGCAAATCGGCCTGCTCAGCCGCTTCCCACCCACCTTATCACGTAGATCCTCGATGGTCTTAAAATAATGGCTGTAGTCGCGGGAGGGTCCGGGTCCCTGCTTCTGGTACCAGTCGCGGATCTTCACCTCCAGCTCGCCATTGGCCTGCTCCAGGGCGCGCACCTTTTCCAGGTACGATGCCAAGCGGTCGTTGAGGTTCTGCATGGTGATCTTCTCGTTGCCAGAGAGGAGCCCGTCGGACCCGGCCAGTGCGACCCCATAGCCACCACCGTAGCCCCCAGAGGACGAGGACACGAAACGGGCCGAGGACACAGACACGCCACGGCCGCCGGAGCCCCCGTGGATGCTGGGGGCGCGAAAGCTGCTCCCACCCCCATAACGCACGGAGCCGCCACCCAGGCCCCCGAAGGTTGAGGCGGCGGATGTCTGGCGGTAACTGTAGGAGGAAGTCATGGCGAGGAGGAAAAGGAGGCGGCGGCGGTGGCAGCAAGGGACAGTGGCCTGAGATGGACACAAGTGGCGAGGCCCTCACCTGGTGCCTTTTATGCCTGCGGGAGGTGGGGGAGGGGGCAAACATGGACACTCGTCCCATTGGTCAGTTCCTGGGCTCTGCCCCAGCCCTCCCCTGCCAGAAACCCTAAGTCCCTGCCCTCTGGAGAGCTGCCCCAGCCCAGCCCACTAGTCCTGGCTCTGTCCTATGAGCACACATTCACCCCACCGTACACAGAGGTAGATGCACCAGTCAGAGGAGCTCACTTCCTGATTCTAACCCATTAACATTCCCAGACTTGGACCACCCTCCTCCAAGCCCTTGCAGCTCTTCTTAGAAACTCCTGTTCGCCCCCTCCCTGCTGACCCCAACCTGTGCCCCTCAGTGTGTTCACTAGATCCCTACTAGACCCTACTGTAAGTCACAACCCCACCCCACTCCCACCTACCCCCAGATCGCCACGCCCTGATTCCTTCCCTGCTTTGTCCCGGCTGAAAAGCATGAGGGTGCTGCCAGCCACAGAGACCCCGCAGCCACACCCTGCTGCAGCCCTGTGAAGCCCAGGTGATAATGGGCGCCTGGGACAGCTGCAGGGTGTAGTGCCTGGGAGCGAGACTGGTGCCTGCACAATCCCAAACCCAAACCCAAGTCTAACCTTCACCACAGGCAGGGCCGCAGAGGGATGAGGGGAAGCTGACCCCTATTCAGGACCCTCAGCACAGCCCCTGTACTTAGACAATCCCATACCCAAAAGCATGAAGCAGCCCAGCACATGAGAACACAGGAGGGGTGCGAGAGGCAAAGACAAGTATCCCACCCATAAGGCATTCAGCACCTGCCACCCAAAGACCAGTCCCCCGTGAGCCCTTGGAGGAGAAGAGACAGAATGACTTGAGTGCCTAGCAGAGTCCTGATGAGGACACAAGAGTGAATGAGCTAGGGAGAGCCATGCAAAGTGCCATACACAACCCACCCCATCCAGCGTTGGGACAACAGCAACAGGAAGGGCCCTGTCCTTGCCACAGGCATCCTCAACCTTGGTCCCCATCCTGGGGAACAAGTACACCATCATCTCAGACTTTGGGGTGGGGGGGTGTCTGGGGCACTGACAGACACCCTGCAGAGCCCAACAGCAGCCTTAGCCCAGCTCCTGGGCCTGTCTCCTGCTGTGTTCACAGTGAGGAGCCCATCTCCCTCTAAGAGGGTGTCAGAGAGCTGTCCCCAACTCCAGCTCCAGGCCTCAGTCTCCCCCTGGGAGATGAGGGGCTCCTCTCAGTCCTACTGTCTGCACAGCGTCTCTTGAGTCATCATTGTGTTCCCAGCAAACAGGAAAACCCACACACAACCCCAAGCTGAGGCTGACAAGAGGGACTCGGGGGCAGGAAGACAGGCTGGGCCTGGGGGTGGGGAGAAAGGTGGGGGTGGCCCAAGGCAGGCCATAAAATAGCAGGGTGTGGCTGGGCTATGGCTGCTGTGACTCACTCTCCTTATCTGTCCCTGACTAGGAGGCCTGGGTCCTGGTAGAGAGCAAGGGACGCCCTGGTGGGGGGCAGGGGCTATTAGCCTGAGAGAGTTGCTGCACACTGCGAGCCCTGAGCCCTGGCCACATCTCTGACTGACCTGAGAAAAGGACCTGGGAGGGGACTCTGCCTTAGGAAACAAAGAATACTTCTACCCCAGGTGGCCTCAACTCCCTAAACTCCAGAGGGGTTTAGAGTCCCAGGGCCCTAACCATGAGAACATGGGGTGGTATGGTGTGCTCCACAGCTCCCACTGGATTCTCAGCAGCCCAGTAGGAAGTATACTCTTGTGTCCATCATGCAGACACGGAAGTGAAGGCGTGGAGCCAGAGACCCACAGCCAAGTGTGTCAGAGTTGGGCTTCCAGTCTCTTGCTCTTCAACCCCGTGGGCCGGGATCCTGAGTGTGGCATTGCTCAGCTGTCCCCTCCCAGGAAGTCCTGCTCCCAGAATAATAACTCCTTTGGGTTCCTGTCCCAATAATTTTGTCTAACGTCAATTTCAAGGACAGACAGAGTCAATCCTAGAGTAACTATAGGGTGGGGTCAGGGGCAAAGCCCTGTTCCTTCTCTAGGACAAGAAACAGGGCCATGCCATGACCAATGTAGCTTTTGACACTTCTCAGTCACCTCAAGAACTCAGGGTAGAAGCTGGTATTGTGGCACAGTTGAGTTAAGCCATTACCTGTAACACAGGCATCCCCTATGAGTCCCAGTTCAAGCCCTAGTTGCTCCACTCCCAATCCAGCTCCCTGCTAATGTGCCTGGGAAAGCAGCAGAACATGGCCCAAGTGCCTGTGTCCTTGCCACCAATGTGGGAGGCCCAGATGAAATTCTAAGCTTCTGCCTTTGGCCTGGCCCAGCTCTGGTCATTGCAGCCATTTGGAGAGTTAGCCGATGCATGGAAGATCTCTCTCCACTTCAAACAAACACATCTTTAAAGAATAAAAAAGCTGAAGGAGAGAAAAGTCAGTGTAGACAAATTCATATCTTAGCCATGTAAATTACCCAGATACCACCCTCTTCCCCAGTGACTATCAACCCAAGGCACTGAAGGTTCCACTGCTGGTGGCCTTGTACCAGTCCACTTCAGTGGCAGGCACTGGGACACCGAAGCATATGCCAGTCTTTACTGCCTGCAAGACACTGGCAGCCTGGCAAGAGCTTAGAGATGCATTTCAGTTTTGATGGAATGGGACAGGTGAAATACTCATATAAATGTTATTCCCTCCTGATGATAATTAATGACTAAAGAGAGTAAAAGCAACAGGTGCTGAGAAATGTCCGTTGCACAGAAGAAGAGAGCTGAGACCTAAGATTTGGAGGTGTGAGGAAAGGGGCAGAGAATGAAGAGCAGAAAACCCATAAAAAAAAAAAATTCTCGACACACACCCCAGGAAGGTTCAGGAATCAAGGCCACCAGTGGTTTTGCAGAGACATGGAAGACAAGATGGGGAGGCAGACTAGCCGGAAGTTGTTGTAAACAGATCCTAAATCATCTATGAAACCAAAGGTGCCCCGATGACTCCCCCATTCCCAACTCAGGAGAAGAGGCGAGATTTGGTCCCAGCAGATGGGCAAAGTTCCAAAGTTTGGTAACATCAGGTGCAGCAGCAGGTGCAGGGATGGCTGCCAGTAATTGAGTCTCCTGCATCTGCAGGTGGGACATGAGCTATAAGTCACCTCACAAGCTGCTTAGCAGAGCCTTCCGCTTAAACAAATCCACTTGCCCCACAAGCCACAGCTCCACCTGGCATGTGTGCCCCAGAGAAGCCCTTGCCTGGCCATTCAGGAAGACATACAAGTCGTCTTCCAAAAGTCATCTTCATGGAAAATGCATGGAGAAAACAATCATGCATGGAGAGCCATGTTGTTTTGCACTAAAATAAACATCCTTTTATTCCATTTTTCTATGGGCTTCCCCAGGTTCTATGATGTGAAAGCATACTCTTTGAGGCCTGGTTTGGAGCAAATCCATGGTCAGGAGGATGGTGGAGCAAACTACACAACCAACTGGCTATAGAGGACATGAAGAGGAGCTCAAATAGAGTGAATAAGCCTGGGACACAGTGCAAAGCCTGGAGACTCATGGTGGGGAACAATAAAGACCGTTGGGGAGCGTGATTAATTCATGTTGACATAACTGAATAGATGACTTTCTACTGCAAATGCATATGGACATGTATGGAAGCGCAAAGGCAGCGGAGGAAACACACAGCCTGACAAGGGATTGCCTCGGAAGGGAAGCTCATTAGAGAATGATAGTGCTGGGGCCCAGTGGGATAGCGTAGCGGTTAAAGTCCTTGCCTTGCACACACTGGGATCCCATATGGGCGCCAATTCTAATCTCGGCGGCCCTGCTTCCCATCCAGCTCCCTGCCTATGGCCTGGGAAAGCAGTTGAGGACATGGGAGACCCGGAAAAAGCTCCTGGCTTCAATTGGCTCAGCCCCAGCCGTGTGGTCACTTGGGGAGTGAATCATCAGACAGAAGATCTTCCTCTCTGTCTCTCCTCCTCTCTGCATATCAGCCCTCCCAATAAAAATAAATAAATCTTTAAAAAAAAAAAAAAAGGACGATAGTCCTGGAGCTTCAGGTTGACCCTTCTGATTCGCCATAGTTACAAAAATGATGTGTTTATGAGCTTCTTGTTTGTTAAAAGTAAACATTTTGTAAGATCTAGCTATTTATTTGAAAAGCAGAGTGACAGAGAGCAGAGAGGCAGGGACAGAGGTATTGTCCATATACTCCCCAGATGGCCACAACAGCTTAGGACTGGTCCAGGCCAAAGGCACTAGGCAGGGACTCCCTCCTAATTTTTCCCATGGGTGGCACAGGCCCAAGCACGTGGGCCACCCCCCACTGCCTTCCCAGATGCATTAGCAGGGATCAGAAGTAGAACAGCCAGTTCTCAGATATGGGATGCACTGCAACTCTTGCCCCTAAATAACTTTTTTTAAGATTTATTTTTTTATTGGAAAGCAGATATACAAAAAGAAGGAGTTACAGAAAGATCTTCCATCTGTTAGTTCACTCCCCCAAGTGGCCACAACAGCTGGAACTGAGCCGATCCAAAGCCAGAAGCCAGGAGCCTCCCTCAGGTCTCCCACGTGGGTGCAGGATCCCAAAGTCTTGGGCCGTCCTCCACTGCTGTTCCAGGCCACAAGCGGGGAGCTGGGTGGGAAGTGGAGCAACTGGGACACAAACAGGTGCCCATATGGGATCCTGGCGTGTTCAAGGCAAGGATTTAACCTCTAGGCTATTGCATCAGGCCCTAAATAACCATTAAGAAATGCTGTTTGGTGAACTTCTAGAACTGGCTGAATTCAACCCAGTATATCCCCCACCCCCATCCCAACAAACAGGAAGCAGAGGCATCGGTCTCACATCCACGCCTACACCCTGGTGTTCTGCTTTGTTTTCTTTGTTCTGTTTGTTGTGAAGAGGCGGAGAGATGGACAAGACAGAGAAAAGGCTCCCATCTACTGGGTCA